ATCACACCATACTGAACACGTCAACACATCACACCATACTGAACACGTCAACACATCACACCATACTGAACACGTCAACACATCACACCATACTGAACACGTCAACACATCACACCATACTGAACACGTCAACACATCACACCATACTGAACACATCACACCATACTGAACACGTCAACACATCACACCATACTAACACATCACACATCGCACACACATACACCATACTCAACACATCACACCATACTGAACACGTCAACACATCACACCATACTGAACACGTCAACACATCACACCATACTGAACACACACACATCACACCATACTCAACACGTCAACACATCACACCATACTGAACACGTCAACACATCACACCATACTGAACACGTCAACACATCACACCATACTGAACACGTCAACACATCACACCATACTCAACACGTCAACACATCACACCATACCAACACGTCAACACATCACACCATACTGAACACATCAACACATCACACCATACTGAACACGTCAACACATCACACCATACTGAACACATCAACATCACACCATACTCAACACGTCAACACATCACACCATACTGAACACACACACATCACACCATACTCAACACGTCAAACAACACACCACACCACCATACTCAACACGTCAACACATCACACCATACTCAACACGTCAACACATCACACTAACTGAACACATCAACACATCACACCATACTAACACGTCAACACATCACACCATACTGAACACGTCAACACATCACACCATACTCAACACGTCAACACAAAATAAATAACAACACAAGCTAAAGTAGACAAAAAAGACGATTATAACGATAATAAGAAAAATATTAACGGTTGAAAAGTTGGAGGTTCAACGGTACAGGTACAGTGGTACAGGTCATACAGGTACAGTACAGGACAGTGTACAGTATGGTAGGTACAGGTACAGGTACAGGACACACATAACAGTGGTACAGGTACAGTGGTACAGGACAGTGGTACAGGAGCAGTGGTACAGGTACAGGGGTGGGGTACAGTGGTACAGGTACAGTGGTACAGGTACAGTGGTACAGGTAAGTGGTACAGGTACAGTGGTATGGTACAGTGTACAGGTACATGGTACAGGTACAGTGGTACAGGTACAGTGGTACAGGTACAGTGTGTACAGTGGTACAGGTACAGTGGTACAGGTACAGTGGTAGGTACAGGTGGTACAGGGTGGTACAGGTACAGCAGTGGGGTACAGGGTCGGTCAGTGACAGGCAGGACAGGTACAGTGGTACAGGAGTGGCAGTGGTAGTACAGTGGCACAGGTACAGTGGTGTACAGTGGTACAGGTACAGTGGTACAGGTACAGTGGCACAGGACAGTGGTACAGGTACAGTGGTACGACAGTGGTACAGGTACAGGGCAAAACCAGGTACAGTGTACAGGTACGTACACACAGTGGTACAGGTACAGTGGTACAGGTACAGGTACAGGTACACACACACAGGTACAGGTACAGTGTACAGGACAGTGGTACAGTACAGGTACAGGTACAGTGGACACACAGTGGTACAGGTACAGTGGTACAGGTGTACAGGACACACACACAGGTACAGGTACAGGGTACAGGTACAGTGGTACAGGTACACACACACAGGTACAGGTACAGTGGTACAGGCAGTGCACAGGACACGGTACAGGTGGTACAGGTACAGTGGTACAGGTACAGGTGCAGGTACAGTACACACATGTGGTATCACACAGAGGTGCAGGTACACACACAGGTACAGGTACACACACAGTACAGGTGTAAACCACGGTACAGTGAACCTCTGTGGTGTTAATGGTGCGGTGATAGTGGTGTTATTGGTGGTGTGGTGATAATGGTGGCGTGGTGATCGTGGTGATAATTGTGGTTATAGTGGTGTTAATGGTGCGGTGATAGTTTATTGGTGTGGTGATCGTGGTAATGGTGTGGAGATAGTGGTGTTAATGGTGTGGTGATCGTGGTGTTAATGGTGTGGAGATAGTGGTGTTAATGGTGTGGTGATCGTGGTGTTATGGTGAGATAGTGGTGTTAGGTGTGGTGATCGTGGTGTTAATGGTGTGGAGATAGTGGTGTTAATGGTGTGGTGATCGTGGTGTTAATGTGGAGATAGTGGTGTTAATGGTGTGGTGATCGTGGTGTTAATGGTGTGGAGATAGTGGTGTTATTTGCGGGAGATAGTTGTTAATGGTGTGAGATAGTGGTGTTAATGGCGTGGTGATCGTGGTGTTAATGGTGTGGAGATAGTGTTAATGGCGTGGTGATCGTGGTGTTAATGGTGTGGTGATCGTGGTGTTAATGGTGTGGGAGATAGTGGTGTTAATGGTGGTGATAGTGGTGTTAATGGCGTGGAGATAGTGGTGTTAATGGTGTGGAGATAGTGGTGTTAATGGTGTGAGATAGGTGTTAATGGTGTGGTTATAGTGGTGTTAATGGTGTGGAGACAGTGGTGTTATTGGTGGAGATAGTGGTGTTAATGGCGTGGTGATAGTGGTGTTAATGGTGTGGTTATAGTGGTGTTATTGGTGTGAGATAGTGGTGAATGGTGTGGTTATAGTGGTGTTAATGGTGGAGACAGTGGTGTTATTGTGTAGATAGTGGTGTTAATGGTGTGGAGACAGTGGTGTTAATGGTGTGGTGATAGTGGTGTTAATGGTGTATATAGTGGTGTTAATGGTGTGTGGAGACAGTGGTGTTATTGGTGTGGAGATAGTGGTGTTAATGGTGTGGTTATAGTGGTGTTAATGCGTGGAGACAGTGGTGTTAATGGTGTGTGATAGTGGTGTTAATGGTGTGGTTATAGTGGTGTTAATGGTGTGAGAGAGGTGTTATTGGTGTGAGATAGTGGTGTTAATGGCGTGGTGATAGTGGTGTTAATGGTGTGGAGACAGGGTGTTAATGGTGTGAGATAGTGGTGTTAATGGTGGTTATAGTGGTGTTAATGGTGTGGAGATCGTGGTGTTAATGGTGTGGAATGGTGGTGTGTTAATGGGTGGTGATATTGGTGTTGGTGTGGGATAGTGGTGTTAATGGCGTGGAGATAGTGGTGTTAATGTGTGGTATAGTGGTGTTAATGGCGTGAGATGTATTATTTGTGGTTATAGTGGTGTTAATGGTGTGGGATAGTGGTGTTAATGGCGTGGTGATAGTGGTGTTAATGGTGTGGAACAGTGGTGTTAATGGGTGTTGGAATAGTGGTGTTAATGGTGTGGTGATAGTGGTGTTAATGGTGTGGAGATAGTGGTGTTAATAGTGTGGAGATAGTGGTTAATGGTGTGGTGATAAGATGGTGTTAATGAAGTGTGGTTATAGTGGTGTTAATGGTGTGGTGATAGTGGTGTTAATGATTATGGTGATAGTGGTGTTAATGGTGTGGTGATAGTGGTGTTAATGGTGTGGAGATAGTGGTGTTAATGGTGTGTGGAGATAGTGGTGTTAATGGTGTGGTGATAGTGGTGTTAATGGTTAGTGTGATAATGGTGTTAATGGTGTGGAGATAGTGGTGTTAATGGCGTGGTGATAGTGGTGTTAATGATGTGGAGACAGTGGTGTTAATGGTGTGGAGATAGTGGTGTTAATGGTTGTGGTGATAGTGGTGTTAATGGTGTGGAATAGTGGTGTTAATGGTGAGAATGGTGTTAATGGTGTGGTGATGGTGGTGTTAATGGTGTGGAATTGTAATGGGTGGTATGTTTGTGAGACAGTGTGTTGTGAATTGTTAATGGTGTGGTTATAGTGGTGTTAATGGTGTGGAACAGTGGTGTTATTGGTGTGGAGATAATTGGTTAATGGGTGTGGTTATAGTGGTTAATGGTGTGGTGATAGTGGTGTTAATGGCGTGGAGATAGTGGTGTTAATGGTGTGGTTATAGTGGTGTTATTAGTTGGAACAATGGTGTATTGGTGTGGAACGTGGTGTTAATGGATGGTTATAGTGTGTTATTGTGATAGTGTAGATTGTTAATGGCGTGGTGATCGTGGTGTTAATAGGTGTAGTGATGTGTTAATGAGTGTGGTGATAGTGGTGTTAATGGTGTGGTTATAGTGGTGTTAATGGTGTGGTGATAGTGGTGTTAATGGCGTGGTGATCGTGGTGTTAATGGTGTAGTGATAGTGTTAATGATTGGTTATAGTGGTGTTAATGGTGTGGTTAGTGGTGTTAATGGTGTGGTGATAGTGTTAATGGTGTGGTTATAGTGGTGTTAATGGTGTGGTTATAGTGGTGTTAATGGCGTGGTGTTTTGGAATTAGTGGTGAGTGTTAATGGTGTAGTGATAGTGTTAATGGCGTGGTGATGGTGTTAATGGTGTGGTTATAGTGGTGTTAATGGTGTGGTGATGGTGTTAATGGTGTGGTGATGGTGTTAATGGTGTGGTGATGGTGTTAATGAATTGTGGTGATGGTGTTAATGGTGTGGTTATAGTGGTGTTAATGGTGTGGTGATAGTGGTGTTAATGGTGTGGTTATAGTGGTGTTAGTATCGTAAGGGCAGGAGGCTGTGGGGGCATTGTGAAATACAGTCGAGTTATCGATATTCTTGAGTTATCTGCTAAACTGTATTTGATTTATATTTCCTTAACTATTCTCTACGACATTGTGTCCTCGTTAGGGTTGAGTAGTTAAGGGTAATTACCATCTTTAGCTTTGATAAAATTACTTTCTGTTGATGGCTTGACGACCCTTTCCAATTGGACCATAAGGCATTACTACCAACCGCCCCAACTGAGGTGGTAACTACATCGAATTTATTCTCTTTACTCTAGTTTAATAAAACCTAAACCAAATTGTGGTTTAATATATTAATAAAACAGTAAATAATATATTAATCATCTATATGCAGTTAGGTAGTTACAAGAGATGATAATAATTGGTGTTAAGGTTGATAATGGGAGGGTTGGTAGACCTGGTATGGCATGAATCAGCTGACGACACTAGGACACTTCCACTCACCTTCACTGATACCTTCCACCACGTAGTTAAACCTCCCTCTTCACCAGACGTTAAACCAACTTAGATGTAGTTGGGAATAACGATGAGATTAAACCAAAAAAAAAAATCCAATAACTGGTGGAAGAGAGAGAGAGGAAGAGGAGGAGAGGAGCCGTCCCACCACACCACAGATGAAGACAAAGACTCACACTAGAGCGTCATTTTGTAAAGGTGGTTTATTTTTTGTCATTTCCCAACACACTATGGTATTTTCACTAGGTTAATTTTCAAGTATAGACCTAGATTAACATTTTTTCACTGCACTAGGATGTTAATTTCTGTCCAAATATGAGAGAATACCGTCAACATTATGGACGTGTGAGCCAGACGTGTGTGGCCTGATTCCCCGAGACCTTAACTTTACTCTCGTCCCCAGCCACTCTCGCCCTAGCAACTCAATCTCTTTTTTTTTTTCCTTTTTAAACATCAACTTATCCTTTGTTCGTGGATTTTCTTGTTCTATCTTGATGTTAAATATCCCATGGTGGGTTATTTTTGGTTAATAATATAATAATGTTAATGATTTATGGGTATTGTAGGGTTAAAATAATTTATTGTCAAGGAGTGAACTATTGATCAAGTAAAAACCAACTCAGGGTTAATGTTGGCCAAGAGGAGGACCTGTGTTCCTTATGACTCCCTCGGCCGCTAGTTAATGATCTCTTTCCAATCACCATTACCCTAAACCACCTGTTATACTCTCTAGTTACAGTACACCGTGTAATGATGAAATGCTACGGTGATAATAATGAAATATTCCTCACAAGCAACAGGTTTTTTTTTTTTTACACACCACTATCATAAAAACACAAACCATAGAAGTGTACATGTATAATATATATATATTAATGTATACATAGATATAATACACAATAGCATTTACTGTCATGAATACTGAGTGTGTTAAACTTGTGGAAGTAATATTATAGGGTCTACATCAAGGTGACTTTGGAAACATCACAAGCTGGTGTTTGTTTGACTTTATCGTTATGTCAAGAGTTATATTATTAAATTATAGTTTATTTTATCTGGGGTATAGTTTATGATGAAGGTAACTGATAACACCATTGACGGAGTTGACAGTGTGGTAGAGGGAACAGTGTGGGGTACCTTGTTGTTAAGCTCTTGGTGGTGGTGTTGGAACTCGTGGTAATAGTGGTAGTGGTAGGATCGTGGTAGTGGTGGTGGTGGTGGTGGTAGTGATCGTGGTATCATGGTGGTGGTGGTAGTGGTAGGATCGTGGTAGTGGTGGTGGTGGTGGTAATAGGATCATGGTAGTAGTGGTAGGATCGTAGTAGGAGTGGTAGGATCGTAGTAGTAGTGGTAGGATTGTGGTAGTAGTGGTAAAAGGTATCTAGGCCTCTTGACATCAATGAACTCGCTGGGTTGAATTACATGAGGCAGTTCAGCTATTAGGGTCATGGGTAATTATTTCATGGATGGTACAGTGTTAAGGGTGGCAGGGAATGCAGAACAACCCTGTACATCTCTGGGGTGGACAGACAGACAGACAGACAGGTCGTTTACTAGTGCGGGTGCTAAGACGAACTACTATTATGTGCAAGACAATATCTGTAATAATTAAAATCTTCAAGAATTATAAATAGTTTCATCTTTTATATACAATATTTACTAGAGCATAACATCAATTGTGTCCACTACATCAATATTCATCTACTACAGTGAATCAGTCAATTAAAACAATATATAAGTTGTAATAAAAGTTGTGTTAATGTTTAGTTTATTTACACCATTAGGTTGTACTTGGAACCTTTCAAATTCGTTGACATTTTAAACAATAAGAATAAAATGCCAAGTGACATATTACGATCATTAGGTGTAAATGACAATGGTTTTACTGTATATTACTGTTATTGTACATCAATTTGTACAACGCAGCATTTATGAGACTAGGCCTACCAACCCCTTCTCATACATCGTTAACGTTAGGGGCATTTAAGTTAATTCCTCATTAACTGCTTAAATAAACTAGTAATATAAATATTTCACCAAGATCTTTGAGAGTTGTACTTTATCTACACAACAAGGCAACGTTGCCACCTGTCAGAGAAGAGCTGGGGAGGAGAGTGATTATCAGCTGGCCAGCCCAAACATAAACCCTCACCAGCCTCTCAAGCCAGCGTGTCGATGACGTACCTGAACACTCATAGAAAACGGAACCTATTGATGGGTAGACTTTGATAAATGCTAATATATATGACAAAATGTAGTTCCACGTTTGATTAAGTTATATTTTATTTAATTTATATATAAAATACTCGTTAAATTACTTTCAAAGATCAAGGATTATTAATAATATAATATAATAACTACAGGAGTGTTTGTTGGACACTTCTGGGCTTATCTAATCCTGGGTAGACTTTGATAAATGTTAATATATATGACAAAATGTAGTTCCACGTTTAATCAAGTTATATTTATTCAATTTATATATTAAATAATCATAAAATTACCTCCTAAGATGAAGGATTATTAATAATATATAATAATAACTTCAGGAGTGTTGTGTGTGTGTTAGTCACCCATGATCGTATGGCTGGGGTCACTGACATCTAAACAATAAAAAATTTCTTTTACCATTTTAGTGAAGGAAATTTACATACACGAAACAACACAATAAAAATATAAGAAATAAAGATTACGAAGAAGGACAAAGGAATGGAACCGATAATAACGTCAAGTGGAATAAGAAATATAAGTCGTGGATAAAATAATATTGTTTGACAGTTAAGGAAAGGTTGAATTAGCAAAGAGGTTATATAGTTAGTTTTATGCTCGTTTGACTGTATATATATAATTTTTTAAGGGTACACAGTTGTTATTATTGACTATAAATGTAACACAAGTTTTACGTTAAAATTTCGTCAAGTTAATAATAAAATATGGGTATTCCTTTTACTTCAGGTTAAATTTATTCCATTGTTACTTTATGTAGACAATTTAACTTGTTCTTGGACTGTTGATTGATCGTTGATTAATTGACTGTTGATTTATCGACTGTTGATTTATTGACTGTTGATTGTTGGGAGGACAGAAACAGTCGACGATTGTTGGGGAGGACAGAAACAGTCGACGATTGTTGGGGACAGAACAAGTCGACGATTGTTGGGAGAAACAGTCGACGATTGTTGGGAGGACAGAAACAGTCGACGATTGTTGACGAAAAGTCGACGATTGTTGGGAGGACAGAAACAGTCGACGATTGTTGGGAGGACAGAACAGTCGACGTGTGGGAGGACAGAAACAGTCGACGTTGTTGGGAGGACAGAAACAGTCGACGATTGTTGGGAGGACGAAACAGTCGACGATTGTTGGGAGGACAGAAACAAAGTCGACGATTGTTGGGGAGGACAGAAACAGTCGACGATTGTTGGGAGGACAGAAACAGTCGACGATTGTTGGGGAGGACAGAAACAGTCGACGATTGTTGGGAGGACAGAAACAGTCGACGATTGTTGGGGAGACAGAAACAGTCGACGATTGTTGGGAGGACAGAAACAGTCGACGATTTGGGGAAACATCGACGAGTTGGGGAGGACAGACAGTCGACGATTGTTGGAAGGACAGAAACAGTCGACGATTGTTGGGAGGACAGAAACAGTCGACGATTGTTGGGAGGACAGAAACAAAGTCGACGATTTAACTGTTTATATAAAAGGTGTATGTGTGTGTGTAATGTCGGTGACGTAAACACACACACACATACATACATACATATACATACAAACACATACACACACTCCACACACATACATACATACATATATACATACATATACATACACACACACACACACACACACACACACACACACACACACACACACACACACATCACCAAAGTGCCTTAAAGTTTAACATAAACATTGACTTAGGATTATACTGCATTATATATATTACCATGATGAAAGAACCTAACCCAACCTAACCAAACCAAACCCAACCAAACCTTCCTTAACCAAACCTAACCTAACCAAACCCAACCAAACCTTCCTTACCCAACCTAACCAAACCTCCTTACCCAACCTAACCAAATCCAACCAAACCTTCCCTTCCAACCAACCCTCACAAACCTTCTACCCACCAACCCACAAACCAACCAACCAACCAAACCTTCCCAACAACCTCAACCAAACTCACCAAACCCAACCAAAACTAACCAAAACCTAACATACTAGAGGCAGTGTTCCATAGAGCCTGTACTAGACTGCACATCGTCTTCCACGTAATCGACCTTAGTAGGGTGATCGCTAATGGCCAATTCCCGTAGTTTAATTGGTAGTTGAGTAGGACTTGGCTCTGATAACAATCCCGACATCTGGAACAATAGAGAGAATTGATGATTGATGATTGATTGGTGATTGATGATTAATTATTGGTGATTGATTTAGTTAAGGTAAATAAAATCATTGAGGGAAAAAATATAAATCAATTGTAGATGAAAGACTGAGTAGGTTAGGTTAGGTTAGTGTTAGGTTAGTTTACGTTAGTTTAGGTTAGTGTTAGGTTAGTTGACGTTAGTTTAGGTTAGTGTTAGAATAGTTGACGTTAGTGTTAGGTTAGTTTACGTTAGTTTAGGTTAGTGTTAGAATAGTTGACGTTAGTTTAGGTTAGTGTTAGGTTAGTTTACGTTAGTGCTAGAATAGTTTACGTTAGTTTTCGTTAGTGTTAGGATAGTTTAGGTTAGTGTTAGGATAGTTTAGGTTAGGTTACATCCGCCACACACCTCAAGATGTCTGGTCAGCAGCGGGACGAACTCAAAGTCGTTATCGTCAGAACCAAAAGGGTTCAACAGAGCCTCAGCGACCTTGATCCAACTGACGTAGAAGAAGAGCTGAAGAAGAGCCAACACCGGCACGTAGAAGTCGATGGAGTGTCCTGGGAGGGTCTGGGCCGGGTCGAGGAACTTGTCCCCCAGCAGAAGAAAGAAGAAGGAGTAGACGGCGATGGTCACTACCTGTAGGAGAGGAGAGGGTCACTACCTGTAGGAGAGGAGAGGGTCACTACCTGTAGGAGAGGAGAGGGTCACTACCTGTAGGAGAGAGGAGAGGGTCACTACCTGTAGGAAAGGAGAGGGTCACTACCTGTAGGAGAGGAGAGGTTACTACCTGTAGGAGAGGAGAGGGTCACTACCTGTAGGAGAGAGAGGGAGAGGGTCACTACCTGTAGGAGAGGAGAGGGTCACTACCTGTAGAGGGAGAGGGTCACTACCTGTAGAGAGGGAGGGTCACTACCTGTAGGAGAGGAGAGGGTCACTACCTGTAGGAGGGAGAGGGTCACTACCTGTAGGAGAGGAGAAGGTCACTACCTGTAGGAGAGGGAGAGGGACACTACCTGTAGGAGGAGAGGGTCACTACCTGTAGGAGAGGTCACTACCTGTAGGAGGGAGAGGGTCACTACCTGTAGGAGAGGAGGGTCACTACCTGTAGGAGAGGAGGGTCACTACCTGTAGGAGGGAGAGGGACACACTACCTGTAGGAGAGGAGGGGTCACTACCTGTAGGAGAGGGACACTACCTGTAGGGAGAGGAGAGGGTCACTACCTGTAGGAGGGTCACTACCTGTAGGAGGAGAGGGTCACTACCTGTAGGAGAGGAGAGGGTCACTACCTGTAGGAGAGAGAGAGGGTCACTACCTGTAGGAGGGAGAGGGTCACTACCTGTAGGAGAGGAGAGGGTCACTACCTGTAGGAGAGGGAGAGGGTCACTACCTGTAGGAGAGGAGAGGGTCACTACCTGTAGGAGGAGAGGAGAGGGTCACTACCTGTAGGAGAGGAGAGGGTCACTACCTGTAGGAGAGGTGGGTGGTGGGTGAGTGAGGCTGCAACAGATACGATGTTGTTATATGACCAACTGTGGTACACCTACACCCCAGCTGTGGTACACCTACACCCCAGCTGTGGTACACAAAAACACGTACATAACTAACCAGAGTGTACACAAAAAGTACAGTACTAACCTGAGTGTACACAAGAGGTATATTGTACTCGTTCCAGCCCATCAGACCACCACACTTGCCTCTGATGGCCAAGATCTCGCGAGTAATAGCACGTTGGCCACCTTCACTCACATGGCCCTCTCGCTTGGCCTGGTCGACAGTCTTACAGGCCCACAACACTGGCACCCAAGTCTTATGTAATGATGTGGTGTTCTCGAGGGCTTTCAGTATCTGTAGTTCATCATCTGTCAAATATCCTGTTGACAGAAACATGATATAAATCACTGTATCCTGTACCAATATTGACAGGAACAACACAATGACCTAGGAAACAACACAATGACCTAGGAAACAACCCAATGACCTAGGAAACAACACAATGACCTAGGAAACAACCCAATGACCTAGGAAACACAATACCAAACACAATGACCAGAAACAACCCAATGACCTAGAAACAACCCAATGACCTAGGAACAACCCAGACCTAGAACACAAACCAAAACACCAATGACCAGAAACACCAGCCAGAAACAACCCAATGACCTAGGAAACAACACAATGACCTAGGAAACAACCCAATGACCTAGGAAACATCACAATTACCTACCTGCCGTAACAAAGCTCTCCAGGTTAGGTAGTTTAGCCCTTACAACAGGAGATACCATGGCGAAGGTAAGAGCCATGGCTAGGTTAACATAGCGTAGTACAGAGCGCCTCACCTCTCGCTCTTGACCGCTCTGTTGACGTTAATATTGTCTTTAGTTCATTTTGGTTAGGTTAGTGTTAGGTTAGATCAGGTTAGGTTTGTGTTAGGTTAGATCAGGTTAGGTTTGGTTAGGTTACGGTGGGTTGGGTTAAGTTAGATAATGGTGTATTGGGTTAGGTTAGGTTAAGGTGGGATGGGTTAAGTTAGATAATGGTGTATTGGGTTAGGTTAGGTTAGATAATGGTGTATTGGGTTAGGTTAGGTTTGTTGATGGTGTATTGGGTTAGGTTAGGTTACGGTGGGATGGGTTAGGTTAGGTTTGTTGATGGTGTACTGGGTTGGTTTGAATTAGGTTGGGTTGGATTGGGTTACGTGTGTGTTAAGTGATGATGTACTTACAAAATAATAATAAATATATGATAATCACCTGAAAGTCTTATATAACAGTGAAATTCAATCAAAGAACCTAACCTAACCTAACCTAACTCACTGACTGACTGACTGACTCACCTGGCCGGGTATATGCGTGGCCACCAAGATAGCACAGGTGTCTGGCCATGGTAGACTCTGATAAACTCCCCACCAGCGGCTGACGACCAGCGACACGAAGAACCCTAACACGAACGACAGCGGGATGAGGGTGCGGAAACGGGTGCAGTGGATGACCACATTCTCGAACGTCCTGTAGATAGAAATTGGTTAGGTTAGGTTTGGTTGGGTTTGGTTTGTTTTGGTTAGGTTTGTTTTGGTTGGGTTTGGTTGGGTTAGGTTTGTTTTGGTTAGGTTTGTTTTGGTTGGGTTTGGTTGGGTTTGGTTGGGTTTGGTTGGGGTTGGTTGGGGTTGGTTTGTTTTGGTTTGGTTTAGAAGACGGAAAGCGAGCCTCTGTAAACACACTAGTTAAGGGGACTGTATACAATGTTTTACTGTACTTCAATAACTAAATGCGTATGTACGTATATATATATATACATATGTATGTATATATGTATATGTATACTAACCTCTTAGACTCCTCATCAAGAGCAAAACGATAGATGAACGATATGGAGTAATATAAAATAATATACAGTAACATATCTTGCCAGACCATCTTGTAAACACTGCCACGCCATCTGTAAATAAGGAGACGCGTCACAATACAATACTTACACTGAATACATCACATACAATCATCCACTAACAAAAATAAACTACAAAATACTGTTATGGAGAATTTAATCTGGTCACCTTTACCTGTTAATAAGGTATAGGTATATGTATAATATATATTTCCCTCTATATCTGCATATCTTCCTCTATTGACCTACCCCTCCCCCTTCCTACCACTCCCTCCCCTTCCTACTCCCCCCTACCCACCCCTCCTCCTACCTACCCCTTCCACCACTCCCTCCCCACCTCCCCCCTTCCTACCTACACCCCCTTCTACCCACCCTCCCCCTTCCTACCTACCCCCCCTTTTCTCTACGTAGGTACAGGAGGCAGTTATCTCACCTCAATAACAACTGCCAGAACGAACCAAATCCACCACGACTGGCTGCTTTATCACAGTACCGGACAGTCATAACTCGTAGAAGGCGCTGAAGGTGGTGGGTAGGTGGGGTAGTGGTAGGTGGTAGTCGAAGATGGTGGTAGTTGTGGTAGGTAATGGTAGTAGTTGGTGGTGGTCGTGGTGGTGGGAGGCAGACTGTCACGACCCTTCACGGTACAACAAACCTGGAATTTCAAGGTTAAATAATGTTTCACCATAGACAGACAGACAGATAGACAGACAGATAGAGAGATAGACAGACAGACAGGCAAACAGACACAGACAGACGGGCAGACAGATAGACAGAGATAGAGACAGATAGAGAGATAGACAGATAGACAGACAGATAGAGATAGACAGACAGATAGAGAGATAGACAGACAGATAGAGATAGACAGACAGATAGAGAGATAGACAGACAGATAGAGAGATAGACAGACAGGCAGTCGATTTAACTAAGAAACCGGTTAGATAATTATCTCTCTGTCTGACGTGTGTGTGTGTGTGTGTGTGTTAAACTGAGCTAACTCTCCATATTAAGCTCTCAATATTATTTAGGTCACACACACACATACATACATACATATATACTCTACATACATATATACTCTACATACATATATACTCTACATACATATATACTCTACATACATACATACTTACATTCAAAATATACATCCTACATACATACTGTACATACATACATACATACAGTAAACACACACATACATAACATAATATATATATACACATAACAATCACTCTTACATATGATAAAGTATACTTACTTATTTCAGTGTTGTATTGTATCCATTAATACGTGACACAAACAGTGATACATACACTATGTATTATACTGTATACAGTTATACATACACTATGTATTATACTGTATACAGTGATACATTAACAGTTATACATAGACTGTATACACCACACCCAAGAACGTCTTCTTGGCCACTAACACAACACCGTCCGCCTGCTGCCCCAGGAAATTCTTTCAACCACACCTTTAACCAATGAAAACTCCTCCTCACAACACTACGAGATGAATCCCTCTCCCCTCAGCCAATCAAAACTCCCCCCTTCTTTCCCCTAGCCAATAAGAACCTCGTCACGCCACCAGTATAATTTCTCAGCCAATGAGAAGATTAATTCTGAGAAACGTTAACTCAAGACAACTCGCCATATTGGTATTTTGGATGGTAAAAAGTTATGATAATATGGAAAGTTTTTAAAAGTTTAACTAGTGACGTGGGTTAAAGTATAAGTATGACGTCAGAGTTAAGTTGTGGTGTTTTTTTTTGATACGTGAGTCAGCCAACTGGGGCACTAGAGGTGTGCTAACCCCGTTATAATGATGAGATCTTGAGTTCAACACAGTCATCACCTAACTTAACCTCACCTCAAGGAGTATCTGTTCTATACGAGGGATCTCACGTTAACCTACCCGAACCTAACTCAAACCTAACCTAACGTAACCCAACCCACACAAACCTAACGTAACCCAACCCACACAAACCTAACGTAACCCAACCCACACTAACCTAACGTAACCCAACCCACACTAACCTAACCAAACCTACACCGAAAGAAATCCTAACCTAACCAAACCAAACCCAAACTACCCTAACCTAACCTAACCATGGGTGAACGAAATATATTGCCTAGAGAAACGGTGACGAAAACTTGGGACCAAAACAGGAGGTGTAGGCGTGACCGTAGGCGGCGAGGGAGCGGCTGGCAGGATGCCGGAGGCCTGCCGCCCTGCACGTACTGTTAAAATATATTATTGTATCTTAATTTTTGGTTCTATTATTATAATTATTATTCTCACCTGTAAACAATTAACACACGCCATTACCTTCATCAACATACATAATGGTTACCCCTCGTGTACCAAGGATGGCCACCTGGACTTGAATTTGTTTAAGGTGTAGAAGCTGTCGCCAACAACCACACCCTGAGTTAACGAGCTGCATGACCCAGTGTCAAGGAATAGTCCGAGAAGACCGGACAACTCGCAAACTGCACTGGGTAACCATTACCCCAGAACACGATCCACAAATCAATTAACATCCAGGTCCCCAATTACTGCTGCTGGGTAGACAGAGGCAAATGGCGTAAAGAAACTTGTCCATAGCTTCACCCTGCCCGAGGATCGAACCCGGGTCCAGTCACTTGCGAGGCGAACATGCTGACCATTACACCACAGGTCGCCCTACATACATACATACACCTGGTCATTACCCTCACAGTAGTTAAGAGATCACTAGTAGGAGTTAACGAGCCGTTATGGTAACTATAACAAGTGACAGCCAGCTCGTTTACTCTCCTGTGGTAGAGGTTAACTACGTCACCACAACACTGGACTATCATGGTTAAATCTGCCGGATGTCCAGTGACTGATAGTGTGTTGGTCGACTGTCTTAACACCATGGCCAGGTGTAGCCCATCGACCGATTAACCTAACCTAACCCTACACACACACACACACACACACACACACACACAGCTGAATTAAGAGCTGGGTGCGGTGGGGAAGTGGATTCATTCCTCACATCCGGTCCAAGGAATCACTCGTTCGTGTTTTGAGTCAACGAACCTCCATACCTGTGTTAATCCATACCTGTGTTAATCCATACCTGTGTTAATCCATACCTGTGTTAATCCATACCTGTGTTAATCCATACCCGTGTTAATCCATGTCCTAACACCAGGGAAGCAACTTAACCTAATCTAACCATACACATTACAGACGCTTATGTGACCTGAATATAACCACAGTAACACAACATGGAACTAGTTAAGGGTTATGTCGTCAATCCCCTCCTACCCCTAACGAGATACCTTAAGACCCACGAACATTCATCGGGTACACGTTCTCTTCTGCCCACACTGGCGTTGGTTTTAGGGTTAGGTTAGGTTTCTTGTATTGTCTGTCCCTTGAGAATTTGTTTGAGAATGTGTGGCTACTACTACTACTGCTACTACTACTACTGCTACTACTACTACTACTTTTTTTAACGTGACCTCCAGCCTCCCCCAATAGCTACACCTTCGCCGCCATTTTATTACCTTAATATTAAATATCCTAATACATAAGTAGCCATCCTAGCTGTTGAGCCGCAGATCTATGTGGCATTCAGTGACTGTTGCCTCATAGTCAATATCTGCAACTGTTGTCGGCTTTGGGGCCGATGTTCTCGTTCCCCTGAGACAGAAAAAAGCCGACCGAAGGAGAGAGAAGGACAGTCGACATCTGATCCAGGCTGTAACATAACTTCTGGGCTGCTGCTTCTGTTCGGATAACACCTCCGCGAGTCTGGTGTAGCATCTTGCACTTGGTCCCATCCCACCAGAGGTTGTGAACACTAGAGGAGTGAAGCTGCCTTGATCAACGTTCTGAATTCTCTCCCCATATGCCCTTCTCTTGTCGTTCTCGTTCCTCCTGTGTGCAGCATCGAGAGCTAAGTTACGGTGACATGCGGCCATGGGATAAAAAATCCTGATGTCGAAGAAGGCTCGCTGTCCCTGTGTCCAGAATCCTCGAGCACTGACGTCAATATGGACTTCGTTGGATGTGCTTGAAGTCCTATGTTGGAAGATCTCACCGTCCAATGGAAGGAGGGTCGGTTCTACACTGACATCACGACAGATTTCCTTCAACATATTTGCTACTACCACCACCACTACTACTACTACTACTACTATAACACTACCACCAATACCACTACTACCACTACTACAACAACTACCACTACTACAGATTATAAAAATAGTAATAGGATTAATAAAATTACTAGTTATTGGTTAATAGGATTATCGTATATTAAAACTGATGTATACAGCGTGTTAGTGTCAGGTCATACACCATTGATAAATACAATATAATACAGCTATTGTTTTATTCATACAGTATTATGTATTACGACTAACAACACATCACAGCAGTCAGTAGTACCATCACATCACAACAGTCAGTAGTACCATCACATCACAACAGTCAGTAGTACCATCACATCACAACAGTCAGTAATACCATCACAACACAACACACAGTAGTACCAACACAACACAGAGTAGTACCAACACAAGACAGCAGTCAGTAGTACCAACACATCACAACACACAGTAGTACCAACACAACACAGAGTAGTACCAACACATCACAGCAGTCAGTAGTACCAACACATCACAGCAGTAGTACCAACACATGATAGCTAGACTCACAATAGCGGCTGACTGAGGGAGTTAACAATAGTACCACCACATAGTACAGTTGAGGGGAAGTTGATAGCCGGTGTGGTACTACTTTTCACCACCACCAGTTCTATGTTATTGTTACTTTGACACATCTGTTGTTCCTGTTGCTGTTCCTTCTCGTCATCACCGCCTGCTACAGTCTGCTCCTGCGGCAGGTTGGTGGTGCAAGGTTCCTCCATGTACACGGGGTCACACAGAAGCTGAGTCATCTGTAGGGTTAGGTTAGGTTAGTAAAGGAAAGTTTGTTCAGTGTCACCACCTTAATCTAACCCCTAACCCCCCTCCAAAAATCCTAACCTAACCTAACCTAACCTAACCTAACCTAACCTCCTCCCCACAAACCTAACCTAACCTAACCTCCTCCCCCACAAACCTAACCTAACCTCCCCTAATCCCCTCCCCCACACACCATACCTGCAGATGTTTCTTCAGGAGATCTAAGAACTCAATATCATGGTCGTCTGTACCGAAGGGGTTGAGTAGCGCCTCGGCCACCTTCAACCAGCCTATGTAGAAGAAGAGCTGCAAGAGAGCGAACACCGGTACATAGGCGTCGATCTTGTGGTCGGGGTGTTGGCTGGCCGGGTCGAGGTACTGTTCCCCGAGCAGTGAGAAGACGAAGAAGGAGTAGACGGCGATGGTCACTACCTGTAGGAGAGGAGAGGGTCACTACCTGTAGGAGAGGAGAGGGTCACTACCTGTAGGAGAGGAGAGGGTCACTACCTGTAGGAGAGGGTCACTACCTATAGGAGGAGGGAGAGGGTCACTACCTACTGTAGGGAGAGGGGTCACTACCTGTAGGAGAGGAGAGGGTCACTACCTGTAGGAGAGGGAGAGGGTCACTACCTGTAGGGAGAGGAGAGGATTACTACCTGTAGGAAGGAGAGGGTCACTACCTGTAGGAGGAGGAGGTCACTACCTGAAAGGTCCTACCTGTGAGAGTCACACCTGGGGAGGGTCACTACCTGAGGAAGGTCACTACCTGTAGAAGGGTCACCCGAGGTCATACCTTAAGAAGGTCACACCTGTAGAGAAGGGCGCCCCGGGGAGAGGTCAACCGGAGAGAGGGTCACTACCTGTAGGAGAGGAGAGGTCACTACCTGTAGGAGAGAGGTCACTACCTGTAGGAGAGGCTACACAGGAGAGGTCACCGAGAGAGGAGAGCCACCTGTAGGAGAGGAGAGGTACACCTGAGGGAGGGTCACTACCTGCAGGAGAGGGTCTACCTGTAGGAGAGGGTCACTACCTGTAGGAGAGGAGAGGGTCACACCTGTAGGAGAGGGTCACTACCTGTAGGAGAGGGGTCACTACCGTGGAGGAGAGGTCAACCTGAGGAGAGGGTCACTACATGTAGGAGAGAGGAGGGTCACTACCTGTAGGAGAGGGTCACCACCTGTGGGTACCCTTAGGAGAGAGGGTCACTACCTGTAGGAGAGGAGAGGGTCACTACCTGTAGGAGAGGAGAGGGTCACTACCTGTAGGAGAGGGTCACTACCTGTAGGAGAGGGCACCTGTAGGAGAGGTCACTACCTGTAGGAGAGGAGAGGGTCAACCGGAGTCACACCTGTGAGAGGAGAGGTCACTACCTGTAGGAGAGGAGAGGGTCACTACCTGTAGGAGAGGGTCACTACCTGTAGGAGAGGAGAGGGTCACTACCTGTAGGAGAGGAGAGGGTCACTACCTGTAGGAGAGGGTCACTACCTAGAGAGGTGAGTGTGTGAGAGGCTAGGGAGGCTCTGGGACAGGTTGGCTGATGTTTGAGATTTTTTCTTTCATTGTCAACTCGTAAGACAAGAATTAAGGTGAAACTATATCGCTTCGTTCATCCATCTATGAGGAAGTTGTTTAAAACACATAAAAACCATCGGAAAAACGTAATTTCAACCTAACCTAAACTTAACTTAAAATCCTAAAATTTACTGGATGACCGAAACAATAATACTAGAATGAATTTAAAATCTTTATTTATTTTTATTTTTATATAATTCAACATTACTTGCAGCACTACGTAACCGAAGGCACTATAAGAATATTAATTTATACGAGTTTATCCTAAATATTCAATTAAGTCAGTTTTCTATGTTACATCCATAGAAAACGTTGGCCTTTGATGAGAGACTTAACTAATCTCTTCTTACAGTAACTAGTGACCCGTAGAATGATGACCAACCCCTAAATATTATCTTAATTTATAATTTAAACCACTAAACGATCAGGCAGTTTGGTCTAGTCTTTGTTATCAACGTTACTATCAGGTGTTACAACGTTACTGTCAGGTGTTATAGTGTTATCAACGTTACTGTCAGGTGTTACGTCATCCGTTATATATATTAAGTGTTATACCAAGAACACTTTGATGAAGAACGTGTCTGAAATACCTGACCCATTGTTTACTGAGGAGGTAAGGGCCCACCTGAGTGTAAACAAGAGCCTACCTGAGTGTAAACAAGAGCCTACCTGAGTGTAAACAAGAGCCTACCTGAGTAAACAAGAGCCTCACCTGAGTGTAAACAAGAGCCTACCTGAGTGTAAACAAGAGCCTACCTGAGGTAAACAAGAGCCCACCTGGAGTGTAAACAAAAGCCTACCTGAGTGTAAACAAGAGCCTACCTGAGTGTAAACAAGACCTACCTGAGTGTAAACAAGCCCCTACCTGAGTGTAAACAAGCCCCTACCTGAGTGTAAACAAGAGCCTCACCTGAGTGTAAACAAGAGGAATGTTGATGTTACTGTAAGCCGAGCCTCATACACTTTTCCCTTATTTTAGTGACCTCATCAATAAGCGTCTTCTGGCCCAAGTCCATCCTGATGAGTCCATCCTGGCTCGGTATATGACGTCACAGGCCCAGAGGAGGGGCACCCAGGCCTTGTGGTGATCGGTCTTCAGTCGTTCAAGTTCACCGAGTTCAGTCTCAGTTAAGTAGTTGTAACCTGTAATGAGGCAGTTATTAAAGGTCATCTTAACTTAACCTGACCTGACTTAACATAACCTAACCTAACTTAACCTAACCAAAACCAACCCTCCCCTCCCCCCTCCTCCCCTCCCCACACAAACCTAACCTAACATCATTACCGTTCTTCCTGTAGTCCCTGAGTGAAGTGAACTCCTTGTTAACGACGGGGGAAATGGAAGCGTAGATATAAGGATAGTTAGGTTGATGTAGCGTAGAAGTCTCGATCTTACCTCCCGTCTCTCTTGATTCTGTTGGGTGAAACGGATGAGTTAAGTCGTCTCAATGGAATCTGAATCAGGAATCCCCGTGGAAGGGGCGCTGGACCTACTGTATATATTGGTGCCACTCAGTCATTACACCTTTATTACTGAGACCTATCTAGGCTGCCGTGGTTTAGAGTGCCAGATGAACGGACCTTGAGTGCCAAAAGGGGTCTCTAATCTGCCGTGGTTTAGAGTGCCAGATCAACAAAAGGGGTCACACATTACCGTCTCTAGGCTGCCGTGGTTTAGAGTGCCAGATCAACAAAAGGGGTCACACATTACCGTCTCTAGGCTGCCGTGGTTCACAAACAACTCACCAAGCCGGGGATGTACGCCTGCAAGCACGGCAGCAGTGTAGAAACAGGGATACTTTGGTACGTGTCCCACCATCGTTTGACCACCAACGACACGTAAAAACCCAGCACGAACGACACGGGTATCAGGTCACGGAAACGGGCGCAGTGGATAACAAGCATCTCGAAGTACCTGTTGTTAAGAGGAGAGAGTAGATGATGTTAGTGGTCTATACTTGTTAACAACCTCCACCCTTAACTACCCCCCCTTTAACTACCCTCTCAACCACCCCCTCCGCCATACAGTATGTCATATTGAAGAAAAATAAATCAGATATTGTAAAGGGGAAGGGGAGGAAGGGGAGGGGAAGGAGGAGGAAAAGGAGAGGAAGAGGAGGAAGGGGAGAGGGAAAGAGGAGAGGAGGAGGAAGGGGGAAGGAGGAGCGGAAGGGGGAAGAGAAGAAAACGAAGGAGGCAGGAGGAGAAACGAAGGGGAACGGGAAGGGGTAAAGAGGGAAGAAAAGGGGAAGAAAGGGGTAAGAAAGGGGAAGATAAGGGGGATAGAGATAAGATACTCACTCTTTGGCCAGGGGAGGTAGAGCCAGGCGGTACACCAGCGACAACAAGGTGTACAGGACCAGGTAGACCAACATGTCTTGCCAGATCATCTTGTAAACACTGCCGCGCCATCTGTGGGGGTACAGGTGGGTGAGTGTCCGTCTCTCTCTCTCTCTCAGGTAACATCATCAACTCACTTCATCAGTAGCTTGAAGAAACTGCCAAAGCTCCCAACTGTAGCAACGGTGTCTGTATATTTGACAGTCATGGTTGTGTGGTGGTGATAGTGGTGGTGGACGACTGTGGTGGTGTGACGACTATGGTGGTGGTGGTGGACGACTGTGGTGGTGGACGACTATGGTGGTGGTGGTGGACGACTGTGTGGACGACTATTGGTGGTGGTGGACGACTGTGTTGGTGAACGACTGTAATAATAATAACAACAACAATAATAATAATAATGATAATGATAATAATAAAATAATAATTAACAATAATAATAATAATAATAATAATAACAATAATAATAATAATTAATAATAATAATAATAATAATAATAACAATAATAATAATAATAACAATAATAATAATAATAATAATAATAATAAAAATAATAATAATAATTAACAATAACAATAATAATAATAATAATAACAATAATAATAATAATAATAATAATAATAATAATAATAATAATAAATAATAATAATAATAATAATAATAATAATAATAAGTAACAATATATTGTGTCCTTATGAGTCACATCAACCGACACACCCACTTACCTTAACTAGATACCTTAACACCAAGTTAGGAGACACAACACTGAGACTCCCCTAACTAGATACCTTAACACCACCAGTTAGGAGACACAACACTGAGACTCTACCTTAACTAGATACCTTAACACCACATATTTACGTAATCAAACACTCAGGCTTGTGAGAGGTGAAACAGTACCTACCTACTACGTTAATTTAGCTGTTAGTCTCCTGAGTTATAGGTGAAGGAGGCAGGAACTTCCTCACATCAACACCTGAGGAAGTTTTACCTCAGGAAACTTTGAGAATTAAGCTTCGGTCACTACCAACAACACAGAGAGTTAAAAAGGAGGTGAAATTGGGTCCCAGGTGAAAAAAGGAGGTAAAATTGGGTCCCGGGATGAAATTGATCCCAGGGGTGAAAAGGGTAAAATTGGGTCCCCAGGGTGAAAAAGGGGTAAAATAGGGTCCTGGGGTGAAATTGGTCCGGGGGTGAAATTGGGTCCCAGGGGTGAAAAAGGAGGTAAAATTGGGTCCCTGGAGAAATTGGGGCCCAGGGGTGAAAAAGGGGGTAAATTGGGTCCCAGGGGAAAAAAGGGATGAAATTGGGTCCCAGGGGTGAAAAGGGGTGTGAAATTGGGTCCCAGGGGAAAAAGGAAATTGGGTCCCATACAGCAAGGTGAAATGGAGGTGAAAGTGGGCCCCATGACTGCCCAATAACAAGAATGTGAGGATGCAATAAACAATGGTGGTCACTCACTAGGAACACTCAGTCTCGACTCTCTGATTATCCAAGGTTCGTTCCTGATTATTTCCACCAATCAGAGGAGTGGAAATCTATCTAAATGACCCATTAAAGTTAATTACATAAAGGGGACTGTACATATAACCTAACGAGCCCCTGTAAACACACTAGTGAAGGGGACTGTACCTAGCTATATGACGAGCCCCTGTAAACACACCTAGTGAAGGGACTGTACCTAGGCTATATGACGAGCCCCTGTAAAACACTAGTGGACTGTACCTAGGCTATATGACGAGCCCTGTAAACACACTAGTGAAGGACTGTACCTAGGCTATATGACGAGCCCCTGTAAACACACTAGTGAAGGACTGTACCTAGGCTATAACGAGCCCCTGTAAACACACTAGTGAAGGATTGTACCTAGGCTATATGACGAGCCCCTGTAAACACACTAGTGAAGGGACTGTACTAGGCTATAAGGACGAGCCCCTGTAAACACACTAGTGAAGGGACTGTACCTAGCTATATGACGAGCCCCTGTAAAACACACTAGTGAGGACTGTACCTAGGCTATATGACGAGCCCCTGTAAACACACTAGTGAAAGGGGCCTGTACCTAGGCTATATGACGAGCCTGTAAACACACTAGTGGAAGGGACTGTACCTAGGCTATAAGACGAGCCCCTGTAAACACACTAGTGAAGGACTGTACCTAGGCTATATGACGAGCCCCTGTAAACACACACTAGTGAAGGGGCCTGTACCTAGGCTATATGACGAGCCCCTGTAAACACACTAGTGAAGGACTGTACCTAGGCTATAAGACGAGCCCCTGTAAACACACTAGTGAAGGGACTGTACCTAGGCTATATGACGAGCCCCTTAAACACACTAGTGAGGGACTGTACCTAGGCTATATGACGAGCCCTGTAACACACTAGTGAAGGACTGTACCTAGGCTATATGACGAGCCCCTGTAAAACACACTAGTGAAGGGGACTGTACCTAGGCTATAAGACGAGCACCTGTAAACACACTAGTGAAGGGACTGTACCTAGGCTATATGACGAGCCCCTGTAAACACACTAGTGAAGGGGACTGTACTGAGGCTATATGACGAGCCCCTGTAAAACACACTAGTGAAGGGACTGTACCAGGCTATAATGACGAGCCCTGAAACACACTAGTGAAGGGGACTGTACCCAGCTATAAGACGAGCCCCAAACACACTAGTGAAGGGACTGTACCTAGGCTATATGACGAGCCCCTGTAAACACACTAGTGAAGGGGACTGTACCAGCTATATGACGAGCCCCTGTAAACACACTAGTGAAGGGACTGTACCTAGGCTATATGACGAGCCCATGTAAACACACTAGTGAAGGGACTGTACTGGCTATATGACGAGCCCCTTAAACACACTCAGTGAAGGGACTGTACCTAGGCAATGACGAGCCCTGTAAACACACTAGTGAAGGGGACTGTACCTAGGCTATATGACGAGCCTCAAACACACTAGTGAAGGGGACTGTACTCCAGGCTATATGACGAGCCCCTGTAAACACACTCAGTGAAGGGGACTGTACCTAGGCTATATGACGAGCCCCAAACACACTTAGTGAAGGGACTGTACCTTAGGCATGACGAGCCCCTGAAACACTCAGTGAAGGGACGTACCCAGGCTATATGACGAGCCCCAAAACACACTAGTGAAGGGGACTGTACTCCACATATGACGAGCCCCTGTAAACACACTAGTGAAGGGGACTGTACCTAGGCTATATGACGATGCCCCAAACACACTAGTGAAGGGACTGTACCTAGGGCTATATGACGAGCCCCTGTAAAACACACTCCAGTGAAGGGACTGTACCTAGCTATATGACGAGCCCTGTAAACACACTAGTGAAGGACTGTACCTCATTGAATCACACCACCTCTCAAACAGAAGCATAGAGGCGTTTAGTGTGTTTTGCGTGTCCTCTCTACTGTACACAAAGAACAACGTTTGTTTTATTGACACACACACACACACAACACAACAAATCTCAACACCCTCCTCATCACTTCAATAATCAACACCACTTCAGAAACATATAGGTCGTTAGCAAGTGACCTCTTACCCCTTCACCCCTATAGACGAGGTGTGTGTGTGAGGTATATTTTCCAAGCTGATTGCTGCATCCTGTAACTTTATTTATTTATTTTATTTATTTTTACGGGGATTAACCTACCAGGGTATACAGTAGGTCACCGACTAGTCCAGTGCCTAAAGAAAATATATTAATAATGATATAATAATTATATTAATAATTATATTAATAATGATAATAAAAATAATAATAATAATAATAATAATGATAATAAAAATAATAATAATAATATATTTTAATAAGATTAAAAGTGAGAAACAATATATGTATGTTGTGTTGTGTTGTGTTGTGTTGTTGTGTTGTGTTGTATAGGTTGTGGTGTTGTGTTGTGTTGTGTTGTGTCATGTTATGTTGTAGGTGTTGTCAGGAAACAACTGAGACCCTACAACCGTGTGTAAATGAGGCAGAAAGTCAGATCATCAACCTGGTCACAGGCAGCAGGTTCACCATAGAAACACATTATGCTTCCAATATCTTCTCCCTGTTTGATAGCTGCCCACTACACCTTAAATCCAACCCAACCCAACCCAACTCAAACCCAACCCAACTCAACCTAACTCAACCCAACCCAACCCAACCCAACTAAGATGGCTTCCCAACCCAACCCAATCATACCCAAGATGGCTTCCCTAACCTAACCTAACCCTACTAAATCGCTGATAAAAGATACTGTCTTAGTGTTTGGGTTAAATTGGGTTAATCTAGGTTAAGTGAGGTTAATTCAGGTTAAGTGAGGTTAATCTAGGTTAAGTGAGGTTAATCTAGGTTAAGTGAGGTTAATCTAGGTTAAGTGAGGTTAATCTAGGTTAATCTAAGGTAAGTGAGGTTAAATTAGGTTAATATAGATTAGGTTAGGTTAGTTAAAGAGGTTACATTGAGTAATGGTAGTTGTTGCATAACTTGTACTCGTGTGACTGTACTTCAAACTGCAATGACTGCACGCACCAAACTGAACTTGTGGACTGTACTGTGTGACTGTACTAAACTGTACTGTGTGACTGTAATTTCCAAACTGTACTCTGTGTGACTGTACTCCTAAACTGTACTCGTGTGACTGTAATTTCAAACTGTACTGGGGTGACTGTACTCTAAACTGTACTGTGTGACAGAATTAAACTGTACTGTGACTGTACTCTAAACTGTAACTCGTGTGACTGTACTAAACTAAAATTTCTCGTGGACTGTACTGTGTGACTGTACTAGTGGACTGTACTCTAAACTGTACTGCAGTATTCCCAGGAACAAACGAAACTGCTCGTCACATACAACAGAAACTTTCCTCTGACCCCTGACCCGCACCCTGACCCCTGACCCTGACCCCCACCCCTGACCCCTGACTCCCGCCTCACACAGTGACTCAAATCGAAATTGAAAGTGAAATTGAAACAACCAATTAAGCCGGATAAAATAGACACACAGGATAATAAAAAAACACTTAAATCGGCTGATCCAGAACAACCAATTGCCGGATAAAATAGACACAGTGGATACAAAACATTTGTAATGGCTGATCCGGTTAACCAATTAAGCCGGATAAAATAGACACAGTGGATAATAATACTTAAAATGGCTGATCCGGATAACCATTTAAGCCGGATAAAATAGACACACAGTGGATAATGATACTTCTAAATGGGTGATCCGGATAAGTGTGAATATTTGAGGTGTTAACTGGTGCTGATAGGTGCAG